TAGCATCATGGTGTTTTTCATGACCAATACAACTATAGTACCAGAATAAACATAGCTATGTATAAAGGCAAATTAGACATTTAGTCATTTTCGTGTAGCTTACAGAAATTAAGCCATAGGAAGTTGTGTCTATTTTATCTGGGGCAAGCGGTTGTATAGAACACAAAATCCCTTTTTTAACCAATGTGTGATGGACTAAATAAAATCATAAAACAACCTCTATGTATACCCTAAAAGAGTTCTATCTAAGCGATGATTCGTTTTGTTCGTTATTTACATATATGTTTGAATTTTGTGAACATTTTCTAAAATTTCATGAACATTATTTTCAAATTGTTGAATATGTTTTGAATTCGTGATCACTTTTTAAAAATCATGAACGTTTGTTTTGAAATCATGATTTTTTTTATAATATGCAAACAGTTTTTAAAAATCTTGAACATTTTATGATTTCCCTACCATTTTTTGAATTCATTGACATTTTATGATTTAAAAAAAGTCTTCAACTCACTTTGGATATTTTGGAAATACCGAATTAATTTAAAAAAGGAAAAACATAAACATAAATAAGAAAAGAAAAGGCGAAAAAAGGGAAGTAAAAACAGCAGGGGGACATCATGCCTGTACATGGGAGCGGGAGTGCTTGCAGAAAAAAGAAGAGAAAAAGGGTGATCCATGGATCAAACCTGGGTCTCCCGGGTGAAGTACCGAAGCGTTTACCACTACGGCAGTTCTCTGCTTGTGATGTATGAGGGTAATATCGTTTAAGAATGAAGCCCCACGACGACTTTAAAAAAATGAAATCGTTTATTTTTTTTCACTTATAGGTGGCATAGTAGGTAATTTATGACAACTTCGGGAGTAATTTAAATGACGGACGGGCAGAAGCAATAGCCTCTTTAGTATTAGGTAAAGATAAAGATAAAGATTAGACTCACTACATAATTTTAATGAGCTTGTATACAGTCATTGTGCTTTATCTGTATTTTATTGTTATTATAACTAGACTGAACTAGATAATACCCCGCTCGTTGTTCTGGATGTTTCTATTTTTCATAAAGAAAAATGTATATTGTTAAGCTGGTAGGGGGCAACTTATTCCAGTTTATTCTAAAAGCAAGCAAAAGAACTGACCCTTACAACCATTGGATACAGTTGCCCAACATTTGTACCCCGCCCGATTCAAGTGTTGATAGAGGCGAGGGTGTCCCGATGTTTCGATAAGAGGTAGCTATCGCTTTCGGTGAAAGTCGACTTTAAAAATCCGACTACGAACGTGCCAGAACGTCGCGCCATAGCAATCGCTAAACCAACTCCAAAAGGTTATTAGCCAGAGTACGATCAACCCAACCACATGGGTCTATTTCCTACCCACAAACTAAGAACATGTAAGAAAATGATATTGCATTCTGAATATTGCAAATTTAAGAGGAAAACTTTACTAATCAACTGGCATTCTGTGATGTCTTGGTCTGTTTGTTCAACACAAACGAAGGACGCAAGTTGTAGCTATGGTGAACTTTAATCAAAATAAAATCCAAGTCTAACAGGTGTGGTATTTATATAAGGAAAAAGAGAGGTGACTTTGTCCACCCTTACAAGGTGAAACACTCTTGAGTCGTTTTCTCTAAAATACGGACTCTAAAAATAGCCTACGAGTATTATTTCGAAATTACATGGGCCTGACATAAAAATAAAGTGGCGAAGCACCTATAATAAGATATGAACGAAATTTATAAAAGATTTTTTTTGTATATTTCGCCTATGTCCTTGTATGTCATCATGGTGACTTTAAAGTGTCGAAAACTCCACTGGAAACTTCATTTTTGTTCCCCTTGCACGCGCCATCCTCTTCATGCTTGATCATGCTTCAATGGTCATCATTCTTCTTCATGTTGGACCCTTCATTTATAAGTAACACAAACATATCCAAATTAGGCAGCATCGTATTCTCATGAATATTAGAATCGTTACCAAAAAACAAAAGTACCTAATAATTTAATTGACATGCGCGACTAATAATTGGTTCAATATAGGTAGTAGCCGAGGTTCTGGGTGTAACTACAAATGTCCTCATCAAACACATTAAGCCACGGGAGAATGGTGACCAACCAGCATGGCCACGTGGCCCATGCTGGTTGACCGTGGCAAATTTTTTTTGATTTTTTTTGGAAGATAAAATTGAGATTTTTTTTCTTTTGAATTTTTTTAAGATTATTTTTAAAAGATGAAAGCGAGACTTTTATTTCTTTTTCATTTTAAGATTTTTTTAGGTCCTTTTTTTCTTTTTGAGATGGATGAGACGTTCACGTGTTGTGAGAAAGTTTTTCTTTTTAATTTTTTTTTTAAGAAACCAGCTTTTGTGGCTGGTGTTTCATTGATTTAGCAGGAGGGAGCGGCAAAGGGGTTCCGATCAAGTGATCGTATGAATGGGAGAAAATTACAACCAGTGACTAGAAACGCTGAGCTCCCAGTAGGGTGTGGCTATGGCGATATTTCACGCCATGTCCCCGAAGGGTTGCTCTATGCATTTGGCCCCTGCCAAGCGCCATTGCTCCATGTCCCGGCGGCATGCCTCGACGATGTGCCGCTCGTCAGCTTGTTTCCCTCTGAAGACGCAGGGGTTTCTCTCCAACCATATGTGCCACGCGATGAGGGCCATCATCGACTTGGTGCCCTTGCGGTTTCCCGGGGCTGCAGTGGTGATGATCCTTTCGGTACAGCCCGTCGACGTAGTCTCGCTGCTCCATCCAGCAGGGTTTAGAGCCTGGCAACCAGCCCAGGCCGCAGCTTGGTTCCAAACCTTCAGGGAGATTGGGCACTCCTAGAAGAGGTGGAAAGATGACTCGAGGTTTCTCATGCACAGAGGGCAGAAGTAGCCATTGGTCCAGCCCCTTCGTTGCAGCCTGTCATTGCACCATAGCTTGTCTTGGTGGAGGAACCAGAGGAACATCTTGATCTTCTCCGGTGCCCAGATCTTCCAAATCAGGCTTCTAAAGCTACTGAGTTGTCCCTCTGCAAATTGCGCGGTGTAGGCCGATTTGGTGGAGAACATCCCTGAGCTGTGCTGCGTCCAGCGGATTGAATCAGGCGTCTATGCATCCAAGACAAGGCCGGCGCTTCTGATCTCTCTAGCGAGCTGGATGACTTGGCGGACGATGTCGCTACTGTTGGCATGCCTTAGATCGAGGACCCAGCGGTCACCCTGCAAGGCCTCCTGGACCGATCGGTTCTTCCTGATGAATGTAGCATAGAGCGCCGGGAAAGCCGAGCAAAGCTGGCGGCCTCCCAGCCAGGAAGAGGACCAGAAGGAAGCAGAAGTTCCATTTCCGCAGAGGGAGAAATACACGCACAACTTCCTCTCAAGAGGTCCGTAATGACAAGGCCCAACCACTAGTTAAGTGATTAAGTGCCGCGCACATATCCGCCGGGAATTGTCATTTGCATATCAGTTTTGTACCCCCTCCGTTTCTAAATATTTGTCTTTTTAAAAATTTCAACAAGTGACTACATACAAAGCAAAATGAGTGAATCTATACTCTAAAATATATCTACATACATCCGTATATGATAGTCCATTTGAAATCTCTAAAAAACAAATATTTAGAAACGAAGGGAGTAGTTGCAAAGACATAAGCATGCGATCCTTCCCGGGCGGTAGGTTGTTCATGCGCACAATCGGAGCCACAAGTTTCTCATTAATTAGAATTAGTAATAAGAAATCAGAGATTAGTCTTCAGATGACTTGCAAGCCGCAGCACTATTAGCATCTACTCCCTCCAATTCCTAAATATAAATATAAGTTCTTTTAGAGATTCCACAATAAACTACATACAAAGCACAATGAGTGAAACTATGCTTTCAAAGGCGTGTGTGTGTGTGTGTGTGTGTATATATATATATATATCTGAATGTAGTCTCTATAGTGAAACCTCTAAAAAGACTTATATTTAGGAATGGAGAGAGTATTTGGAGTACAATTCAACTCAGGCGAAAAACTCTCAAGACACAAATATACTAGACCTAGACTAAGCCATTTTGTAAGATACAGATGGAATATTGCAATCTGTTGCAGAAAAGCATCCTACAAGAATATTAAGAATTGACCGGTAAATAGAAAAATCCATTGATATTGTAAATCACAACACTAGTACAAACTTCAGCTCAGTCATACTTCATCACATCATGCCAACCAGGCTCATCGGATATCAGAATTCTAATAAGCCCAGAAGCAGCAATTAACTACCACTACCGATATCCACAGTTTCCCCGAAATCCAAAATGAAGAACTAGTGACAAAATTTGAAGATATAGGAGAACTGTTGAAATCTCAGCTGCGCTATATTCTTTTCAACTGTGACTACATTTTTTTCTCCAGCAACCATCCTGGACTTCCGTCGCCGTGATTATTGAGATATGAATGGCTTGCTATTGCACCAGGGTTACTAGAACCAAATCATCGCATCAGCCCCTTATAGCAGAACGCACAATGGCAAGAACGAAGCTCTACAACACCAATTATATGCACAACAAACAAGCCTGCCTGTGGGAGAAAAGAACATTTTATTAGAACAAGACATACCATCGGAAATCTTAAAGAACAGCTATAGTGAGAGCTAAGACAAGTATTTCATACACATACACATGAAGTGGAGAAAATAGACCAACAAGCTTCATTTTCTCTGCAGGTGGGGCTTGACAGATTCTAAAACAACCTGACCATCAGAGGATTTCTCAACAGTTAGACAAAATGTAACATTACAAAACACAAATCAACATTTACAATAAATAACAAAAAGGTTGCAGATACTCACCCTTCCATCATAAGACAAAGAAGCAAACAACGATGGATCATGGGAGCTCCATGCAATTCCTACAATTTCAGTCAGCTCTGTGATTCTTTGTCAAAATTTTAATGTACATACAAGTAGGGAGGTTCAACGGTACCATAGATGCTATCTTCGTAGTCAGTATACGAGTGCAGTAATGGTTCTTCTTGCCTAGTGGGCGAACCAGAAGGGCTGCGAAAATAAGATTGGGGGCATCAAAATTACAACCTCAAACAAATTAATCAAATCTGTGAGTAACAGAAACCTTTCGGGTCCAGAGTCATCAGTGCCAACTTTAGCCAACCATAAATTGACAGCTGAATCCGTTCCAGCACTCTATAGAGAAGTTTCAATAGTCAGTTACAATTTAAATTGATATATACTATATTACTACACGCGTGAGAGAGAGCGAGGGCGGGAGGGGGAGGAGGAGAGAGAGACCAGAATCAGCTCATCATACTCAGGATTGTGCCGAACAGCCCATGTCCTGCAAAAATCATTATATCGAGGTCAATTAACTTGATGATCGCTGGAGTAAGAAATCACAAAAGCAAATTAGTAACCATATATATTAAATTGGTGAGTTGACAGCATCATCCCATATAGGTGGTAAAGTGCTACAACACCAGACCAATAAAAAGTAACAACAATGTTGACATGGGACGAATATGCACTCATATGAAGGATTTCAAGCATCAAGGAGCACACATTCACATCAAATATGCATAGAACAAATGGTGCAGGTTTAGAACATTTCATCAACTAAATACACAAAAAAAACAGATTTTCATTTGAGTTTACTATAAGATACACCAACATACCAATGTGAATGTCCAGGGAGATCCTTCAGAGGATGCTTAAGCATTCTGAGATCCCACAAGCGAATTCCGAATTCGTCCTCTGCTGTTGCCTGCACCGCAAAAGGGAACCTCAAGCAGCATAAACAAACGAAGCTGAATGAAAGAAATTTGCAAACTGTTACTCCGACATGGATACTAGAACCCGACTCAGCAAAAATTTACAAAATAATATTTGAGGTTCCAATGGACTAAATTAACCTTATTATAAAAGGTAATGATAAATTTCAAACCTGCTGCCAAACAAAATCAACAAAAAGAATTTGATCAAACAATAACTAAGTAAGAAGTAGTGGCAAATCCAGATTAAATATTAACTATGTTACTTACACAAGTGCAAGAAAAAGAAACTCTGCAAAGTTGAAAGGTAACGGAGAAAAAGAAACTAATACAAAAATACCCCTTTTCAGGGTTACCACACAAAAAAGGCAACTCATTAACCTGCTTTTCTTCTGATAGAAGAAATAAAATAGTTTTTATCCGAAGAACAAGATGCACCAAACTCACAATTATGTTTTGCTTCTTGGGGTTATAATCCACATCCCGGATATGAGCATGCTCAATTGCATTTGATCTCCTAAGAACAATTAGTTCATGCACATAGATGTAAGTACAGCATTTGAAAATCCAAACATAAGTATAAGCTCAGATAATCTGATGCGGTCAAGATTGTCAAAGTACTAACTTCATAGAACGGAGATCCCAGAAGTGGAGTGACGAATCAGTTATTGTAGCAACTGCGTTGTGATTGTGTGGATCCCAAGCTCCACCACGTAAATTGGGAAGCATGTCAGCAGATCCCTGTGATATCACCTGCAATTTCGGTACTCAAATTAGGACCATGATGAAGTACTAAACTGATGCTAATAGAGATATTGATGTTTCAGATTTTATAAACTCATATTAGGCATATAAATAATGAAAAGAATTTGTAATGTATGTTAAACAAAAGGATGATCGACACACCTTGGCTGATTTATTTGATGGATCTATGTTCCAGAGAAAAATGTTTCTGTCATTGATGCTAATTAGCTTATCATGCTTCCCCAGTGGCCACCAGAGAACACTGCAAAAACAAACTAGCTAATAAAGATCATATGCATAAAGAGAGATTGTCTCACTACAGATCCTCCACAAAATATCAATATGCAAAGCTAACCAATATTATATGCATAACATGGGAGATCAGAATTAAAAAAACAGTAACTCAGAATAATTGTATAGTAAAAAAAATCATCTATTGTGTGTTGTGATACGAGTGAGGTATGTTCTGCCAAATTGATATGTTCCGTGTAGTGTACCCGGCTTACTAAAACCCTCTCATATCAGTGCATGCTGCATGTTAGCATTGGCACGGCCAGTCAGAGCATTATAATTTGCCAATTTGGACTTTGCAAATGTGCACCGGCACAGACACATTAAACAACAAACGCATTCTGGGATTCTCGTTACATCTCGTCTAAAATTCAACAAGCACAAACGCATCCTATATGAAAATAAGATTAAGTAGCTCTAGAGCAAGCACAGAACTTCAAGGCAAACAAGAGCGCACCATCTTATTTTGTCCGTGTGGTCATCGAGCGTGAAGAGCTGCTCAAGCTGCGGTGAGTTGGACTGGCCATACAGCTCCGGGATCTTCCAAACGGACGCGCCATAACCCTCGCCTGTCATTCACATGGAGACGCTTTAGAATTGCGTCTCAAAATGCTGAGTGCATCAAAAGAGAGAGGGAGAGAGAGAGAGAGTTCTGAAAAGAGCGGAGCATTTCTACCAGACGTGTAGACCGTGGAGAAGAGCCTGTGGTCGAAGGGGCAGGACTTGAGGTCCCAGATCTCGTTGGGATGGTAGAACAGCCCGTCGCACACGAGCTCGTTCTCCCCCGGCAGCAGCCGGATCAGGTGCACCTATTCTTGGACACGAGGAATTCGAGATCCAATCACGCACCATTCTCAACCACCCAAAGAAGAAATCACCACTCCAATTGCCGCAGTGCAGGGCAGAGTCCCCCGCAAGAAACGTACCTCGTTCTCCTCCTTGAGGCTGAGGGTTCCGGCGAGGAAGGTGGTGGAACCGGCATCCGCGCGCACGTCGGTGATGCACCGCGCCTGGAAGAGGGGAAAAAGAAGATGAGGAGGAAGGAGACGGAAGAGGGCGCCACGGGAGAGTGTTCTAGAAGCTTCGAGAAGGTGGTGTCGCTTGCCTGGTACTTGAGGCCGCCGTAGACGATGCCGCTGGATCCGCCCTGCATTCTCGCTGACGCCGGCGAGACGATCGGAGATGCAAACGGAGATCGCTGAATGGTACCGCGGGTAGTCGTCGCCTTCCACACTCCTTACCAAGATTGAAGTCCGCTTTGCCACACAGGAAACGTGTTTTGGAGTGACCAAACGGACGCGAATTTTGTCCGTTTTTTATTCATTTTGATCGGCCGAGATTGCCCGTCTTTTTCTTTGGATTGGCCAGGCCGTCCACTTAAAAAACAATTTCAAAAAATAACATCTAAATTTAACATAATTAAAGTTCACTTAAACATTAATAAAAATAAAAAAACTAAAGAAAACACCACCCAGCACGCTGTCTTAGGTGTCACCTTTGTTGCAGTCATCGCCAGTGAGGTCGACGAAGGCTGGCCCGGAGGAATTGCTGCAGGGCGCGCGTGCTCCTCCTGCTGAGGCTCTCGGCGCACTTCCTCCTCATGCGCTCCTCCTGCTGATGCTCTCGGCGCACTTCCTCCTCATGCGCTCCTCCTCGTGCTCGGCATGCATCCGGTGCTCGTCGTCGTTGTGCTCCTCCGACAGGTGGAGCTGTAGCCAGGGATCCATGTAGGGCTTTTCTTGCTACGTCGTCGCGCCCAGGGCGCGATGGCCGACGCCTTCACCCACTCGCGGAGGACGCCGGTCCACGCGTACATCTCCAGCTCGGGCTCCGTGGGCGGCGTGGGCGTGGGCGTGTGCTCGGGCTTGGCCTTGGGCTCATGCAGCGGCAGTGGGTAGACACAGTCCCCCGCCGACGATAGTACGAGGGCCTCCTCCAAGTCATCCCAGCGCGCGTCCTCCTCGCGTTGGCTCTCCTCGAGGGCGCGCTAGAGCGCCGCCTCCAATGCGGACTGGTAGGCCGCCTCCTACTCCCCCAGCGCCACCTCCCAGTTGGGGGAGTCTGCCGCTTACACCGGGTTGTGTTGCTGCTCCGGGCCTCCGGCAATAGGAGGGCGCAATGCTTGCACACCTCCTCTGTGTGCGCCGCGCCGACCGCGGCACCGCTGATGTTTGCTTGAACTACGTCGGTATTGTGGAAAAACGTAGCATGCAATTTTAAAAAAATTCCTATGCTCACGCAAGATCTATCTAGGAGATGGATAGCAACGAGAGGGAGAGAGTATGTCTACGTACCCTCGTAGACCGAAAGCGGAAGCGTTTGACAACACGGTTGATGTAGTCGAACTTCTTCTCGTTCCGACCGATGAAGCACCGAACGTACAACACCCCCGAGTTCTGCCATGTTCAGCTCGATGACGTCCCTCGAACTCTTGATCCAGCAAAGTGTCGAGGGAGAGTTCTGTCAGCACGATGGCGTGGTGACGGTGATGGTGAAGTGATCCCATAGGGCTTCGCCTAAGCACTACATGAATATGACCGGAGGCGTAAACTGTGGAGGGGGGCGCCTGTTGGGGAACGCGGTATTTAAAAAAAATCCTATGATCATGTAAGATCTATCTAGGAGATGCATAGCAACGAGAGGGGAGAGTGTGTCCACGTACCCTCGTAGACCGAAAGCGGAAGCGTTTTAGTAATGCGGTTGATGTAGTCGAACGTCTTCACGATCCAACCGATCCAAGTACCGAACATACGGCACCTCCGCATTCAGCACACGTTCAGCTCGATGACGTCCCTTGAGCTCTTGATCCAGCTAAGGCCGAGGGAGAGTTCCGTCAACACGACGACGTGATGACGTGATGATGAAGTTACCGGTGCAGGGCTTCACCTAAGCACTACGACGATATGACCGAATTATGTAATTGTAGAGGGGGGCACCGCACACGGCTAAGAGAAGACTTGGTGTGTCTTTGGGGTGCCCCCCTCCCATGTATATAAAGGGGGGAGGAGAGGTGTCCGGCCCTAGGGGCGCCATGGGGGGAGTCCTACTTGGACTCCCGGTCCAAGTAGGATTTGGTCCCCCTCCCTTTCCTAGTCCAAGTAGGAGAAGAAGGGAAGGAGGAAGAGAAGAGAAGGAAGGAGGGGGGCACCGCCCCCTCCCCTTGTCCAAATCAGACTGAGAAAGGGGGGCACCTCTGGCCGGCCCTCTCTCTTCTCCACTAAGGCCCATGGTGGCCCATTAACCTCCCGGGGGGGGGGGGGTTCCGGTAACCCCTGGTACTCCGAAACTTATCCGAAACGACCCGAACCATTCCAGTGTCCGAATGTAGCCTTCCAATATATGGATCTTTATGTCTCGACCATTTCGAGACTCCTCTTCATGTCCGTGATCTCATTCGGGACTCCGAACAAACTTTGGTTAATCAAAACACGAAACTCATAATACAAATCGTCATCGAACGTTAAGCGTGCGGACCCTATGGGTTCGAGAACTATGTAGACATGACCGAGACATATCTCCCATCAATAACCAATAGCGGAACCTGGATGATCATATTGGCTCCTACATATTCTACGAAGATCTTTATCGGTCAAACCGCATAACAACATACGTTGTTCCCTTTGTCATCGGTATGTTACTTGCCCGAGATTCGATCATCGGTATCATCATACCTAGTTCAATCTCGTCATCGGCAAGTCTCTTTACTCGTTCCGTAATGCATCATCCCATGACTAACTCATAAGTCACATTGCTTGCAAGGCTCATAGTGATGTACATTATCGAGAGGGCCTAGAGATACCTCTCCGATACACAGAGTGACAAATCCTAATCTCGATCTATGCCAACTCAAGAAACACCATTGGAGACACCTGTAGAACATCTTTATAATCACCCAGTTACATTGTGACATTTGATAGCACACAATATGTTCCTCCGGTATTTGGGAGTTGCATAATCTCATAGTTTGAGGAACATGTATAAGTCATGAAGAAAGCCAATAGCAGAAAACCTAAACGATCATTATGCTAAGCTAACAGATGAGTCTAATGATGTGATCCCATTCATCAAATGACAACACATGTCTATGGATAGGAAACTTAACCATCTTTGATTAACAAGCTAGTTAAGTAAAGGCATACCAGGGACACTCTCTTTGTCTATGTATCCACACATGTACTAAGTTTCCAGTTAATACAATTCTAGCATGAATAATAAACATTTATCATGATATAAGGAAATATAAATAACAACTTTATTATTGCCTCTAGGGCATATTTCCTCCAGTCTCCCACTTGCACTAGAGTCAATAATCTAGATTACATAGTAATGATTCTAACACCCATGGAGTATTGGTGTTGATCATGTTTTGCTTGTGAGAGAGGTTTAGTCAACGGGTCTGCGACATTCAGATCCGTATGCATCTTGCAAATCTCTATGTCTCCCTCCTTGACTTGATCGTGGATGGAATTGAAGCATCTCTTGATGTGCTTGGTTTTCTTGTGAAATATGGATTCCTTTACCAAGGCAATTGCACCAGTATTATCACAAAAGGTTTTCATTGGACCTAATGTGAAGGAAATATGCCCTAGAGGAAATAATAAAGTTATTATTTATTTCCTTATATCATGATAAATGTTTATTATTCATGCTAGAATTGTATTAACCGGAAACATAATACATGTGTGAACACATAGACAAACAGAGTGTCACTAGTATGCATCTACTTGACTAGCTCGTTGATCAAAGATGGTTATGTTTCCTAACCATAGACATGAGTTGTCATTTTATTAATGGGATCACATCATTAGGAGAATGATGTGATTGACTTGACCCATTCCGTTAGCATAGCACTTGATCGTTTAGTTTGTTGCTATTGCTTTCTTCATGACTTATACATGTTCCTATGACTATGAGATTATGCAACTCCCATTTACCGGAGGAACACTTTGTGTGCCACCAAACGTCACAATGTAACTGGGTGATTATAAAGGCGCTCTACAGGTGTCTCCGAAGGTACTTGTTGGGTTGGCGTATTTCGAGATTAGGATTTGTCACTCCGATTGTCGGAGAGGTATCTCTGGGCCCACTCGGTAATGCACATCACTATAAGCCTTGCAAGCATTGCAACTAATGAGTTAGTTGCGGGATGATGTATTATGGAACGAGTAAAGAGACTTGCCGGTAACGAGATTGAACTAGGTATTGGAATACCGACGATCGAATCTCGGGCAAGTAACATAGCGATGACAAAGGGAACAACGTATGTTGTTATGCGGTTTGACCGATAAAGATCTTCGTAGAATATGTAGGAACCAATATGAGCATCCAGGTTATGCTATTGGTTATTGACCGGAGACGTGTCTCGGTCATGTCTACATAGTTCTCGAACCCGTAGGGTCCGCACGCTTAAAGTTCGGTGACGATCGTAATTAGGGTTTTTGTGTTTTGATGTACCGAAGGTTGTTCGGAGTCCCGGATGTGATCACGGACATGACGAGGAGTCTCGAAATGGTCGAGACATAAAGATTGATATATTGGAAGCCTATATTTGGATATCGGAATCGTTCCGGGTGAAATCAGAATTTTACCGGAATACCGGGGGGTTACCGGAACCCCCCCGGGGGTTAATGGGCCTGCTTGGGCCCTAAGGGAGAAGAGGAGGGCCGCCCAGGGCAGGCCGCGCGCCCCCTCCCCCTAGTCCGAATAGGACAAGGAAGGGGGGTGCCCCCCCTTTCCTCTTTTCCCCTTCCCCTTTCCTTGGGGGAGTCCTACTCCCGGTGGGAGTAGGACTCCTCCAGGCGCACCCCTAGGGGCCGGCCGCACCCCCTCCCTCCTTTATATACGGGGGCAGGGGGGCACCCCATGACACACAAGTTGATCTTCGTGATCGTTCCTTAGCCGTGTGCGGTGCCCCCTTCCACCATATTCCACCTTGGTCATATCGTAGCGGTGCTTAGGCGAAGCCCTGCGTCGGTAGAACATCATCACCGTCATCACGCCGTTGTGCTGACGAAACTCTCCCTCAACACTCGGCTGGATCGGAGCTCGAGGAACGTCACCGAGTTGAACGTGTGCAAAATTCAGAGGTGCCGTACATTCGGTACTTGGATCGGTCGGATCGGGAAGACGTACGACTACTTCCTCTACGTTGTGTCAACACTTCCATTGCCAGTCTACGAGGGTATGTAGACAACACTCTTCCCTCTTGTTGCTATGCATCACCATGATCTTGCGTGTGCGTAGGATTTTTTTTTTGAAATTACTACGTTCCCCAACAGTGGTATCAGAGCCAGGTTTTATGCGTTGATGTAATATGCACGAGTAGAACACAAGTGAGTTGTGGGCGATATAAGTCATACTGCTTACCAGCATGTCACACTTTGTTTGGCGGTATTGTTGGATGAAGCGGCCCAGACCGACATTACGCGTACGCTTACGCGAGACTGGTTTCATCGCCGTGCTTTGCACACAGGTGGCTGGCGGGTGTCAGTTTCTCCAACTTTAGTTGAACCGAGTGTGGCTATGCCCGGTCCTTGCGAAGGTTAAAACATCACCAACTTGACAAACTATCGTTGTGGTTTTGATGCGTAGGTAAGAACGGTTCTTGCTAAGCCCGTAGCAGCCACGTAAAACTTGCAACAACAAAGTAGAGGACGTCTAACTTGTTTTTGCAGGGCATGTTGTGATGTGATATGGTCAAGACGTGATGAGATATAAGTTGTTGTATAAGATGATCATGTTTTGTTGAAGTTATCGGCAACTGGAAGAAGCCTTATGGTTGTCTCTTTATTGCATAAGATGCAAGCGCCAAATAATTGCTTTACTTTATCGCTATGCGATAGCAATAGTTGCAAGAGCAAAAGTTGGCGAGACGACCATGTGACGACACATTGATATAGATCAAGATGATGGAGATCATGGTGTCGTGCCGGTGATGATGGAAATCATGACGATGCTTTGGAGATGGAGATCAAAGGCACAAGATGATGATGGCCATATCATGTCACACATTTTGATTGCATGTGATGTTTATCTTTTATGCATCTTATCTTGCTTTGATTGACGGTAGCATTATAAGATGATCTCTCACTAAATTTCAAGATAAAAAGTGTTCTCCCTGAGTATGCACCGTTGCCAAAGTTCATCGTGCCCAGACACCACGTGATGATCAGGTGTGATAAGCTCTACGTCCATCTACAACGGGTGCAAGCCAGTTTTGCACACGCAAAATACTCAGGTTAAACTTGACGAGCCTAGCATATGCAGATATGGCCTCGGAACACTGAGACCAAAAGGTCGAGCGTGAATCATATAGTAGATATGATCAACATAGTGATGTTCACCATTGAAAACTACTCCATTTCACGTGATGATCGGTTATGGTTTAGTTGATTTGGATCACG